GTCTCTGATTCCGAGGCGGTCGCGGCGGCGACTGGCGAACTCTCCGGAAGCCCGGTGGCCCGGGTCTGAAGGCGGCCACGCGGCCGCTGGGGTGCGCTGCGCGCCGAGCGAGCTCCGGGGGCGCGCGGCGGTGACGGCTGTGTTCGCGGAGTGTCCCATTCTAGGAAAGGGAAGGCCGCGGCGTGGAGACCCAGCCCCAGCTCAGAGAGTGGTAGCTCGGGCAGCTTCCCCCAGCAGTGAGAGGGGCTGCTACCCCAGGAGCGCTTCCTCCGGCCAGGAGAACCATGACCGTCCGCCTCGCTTCGCTCCAGCCCAGCGCTCGCAGGGGTCTGGGAGCGGCGGGGTCATCTCCCTCCGGGCCGAGCGCGCACGGTGGTTTACAGCGCCCCAGACACCGAGCCCACCTGGGGAAGCAGAGTGAGGGCGTGGGCCACCAGGATAGGTTTGCAGGTCCTGGTGGGTGACTCCCAACCGTCTTTCCCGTGCTTAATCTTAATAGTTGCAACAATAATAATTATAAATTAAATGCCTTTGCATCAAACACTCCCTTTCCATGAGTTGGAAAGAGATTTTCTGTAAAAAGAAAGGGTACACAGGAATAATCACGGATGACAGTTTGTGTATCATGTCAAAAAACGAGGACACCGTACAATCAGCTAGAGACCACGGTTGCTACCGGTACAGTGCAGAGCAGCAGTTAGCCCCAAATACATTAACTCGTCATTAATATTTAACTAGAATTCATACACACAGTATCCCTTCGAAAGGGCTCGGCCTTCCTACCGTTTTGTCCTATCCCTATGGCACTTTACAAAAACAAATCCACGTCTTTGCTGGGTCCTCGTCCCCACATCACTGTCCTGCACCTGCAGTTTTAATCTGATACTTTGCAATGAATTGATTTTTTTCGCAAAATAAAATCTGGCTTTGTATGTTTCACAACGTGCGAAGGACACTATTCACAGTGATAGACCAAAAGTGAGTTCGCTACTTTTAACAAACTCCTTTCAAAGTATTCTTGGCAACAGTGCAAGGCATTACTCACTACTACATAGAAACACATAATTGATAATGTGAGAAACTTTAAAATGTCTTCCAATCCCCCAAAGCAATGGTTTGTCTTTCCCTCATTAAATAATGGTCCTTTTGTACTTAAGTTTCTCTTAAACTTCCCTGTTGTATGCAAGCAACCACAACCACACAAGCAAAAGAGTGTAAAGTAATGTATAACGAACTGTATCAGAATTTAAATGATCAGAAAACAGGAAGTTTTCTGAAAAACTACTGCAAGAAAACAGGTCACAGATTCTCCCACAAGGGAGTCTCAATTCTGTATAGTGTAGACAGTGGATTGGGGGTCAGTGGGAAGGCCTGTTATCTGAGATAAGCATGTCACAAAGGACTGAGAGATGAGGTGTTTCCAACTGTCCTAGTCTCTAGGAAACTCACATAACATTTGTAATAATACTTCCTGTAATTTTCAAGTACTGAAAGGTAAGCATATTTTGAGCTGGCTTCTTGTTTCCAGGACCCATTTTATTCTTTATCCTGATATTCTTGGTTATTTTAACTTATTGGTATAGATTGCTCTCAAATCTTGTTTTAGAATGAGTTGAAGGATGAGTAAATAATAAACATTGCCAGGAAATAACATAAAAAATGCCGTTAAAGCCATTTATAACAAACAAATGTGCAACGACCTAACAGAAACCCCTCCAATGCATTCCCGTTGTACAAGAATAAAACCCAAACCCTCTAAACATGGCTCACAAGGTTCTGCATGATTTGGCTTTTATCTGTCTCTACTGTTAAAGGGTGGTCATACAACTAGAAAACAAACAAACAAACAAACAAATAAATAAAATAAAATCAAACCAAACCAAACCATGAATGGTCAAATTCCTTGACCAAAAAAGATAACACAAACTGTAAGCGTCATGACATCATTCCTGCCTTACCTTTTTTCTCCTAATAGTATATTCTGATCTCTTGTAGCAATCCTATATATTCTAGGCTTGAGAAAAATTGAGTAAACATACTTGCACATAAAATGGGATCCATGTTTCTCACTATTGAAGGGGAAAGACTAGAATGTACATTGTGGTACTGAAATGGAATTGGGGATTAAAAATTAAAACGTGTGTGCGTGTGTGCACGCATGCGCGTGCATGTCATGTGGGGAAATTCCACGTGACAAGGAAATGCGGCAGTTTTTAAGAGCTGTGGACAGCCTCCAGGTGACAACCTACAAGGATCAGGAGCCAGCAAGAAAATGAATTCCTCAGTCTTACAACTGCAAGGAACAGAATGCTGACAATCTGAGTGAGCTCAGAAGTAGCTGTTTCTCCAGTCAAGCCTCAGATAAGACCACAATCCCAGCCAATAAATTGAGAAGCTTTGTGAGATGCTAAGCAGAAGACATCTTCATAGATGACATCTTAATATTGAGTCCTACAATCCATGAACATAGTGTATTTTACCTATTTATTCTGGTCTTTTAAAAATTTCTTCCAGCAATGTGTTATAGTTTCTAGTGTACTTGTCTTACATGTATTTTGTTATACACACACATATATACACACATGTGTGTGTATGTATGTATATGTGTGTGTGTGTGTATGTGTGTGTGTATATATATATTCCAGCTCAGTCACTGAGATACTAGAAGCCATATTCCAGTGGCAATGAGCAGACTCGGTACCCCGATTTTGCTTTCTAAATAACATTCTTCACTTTAAAAGAAACCAAGAGTCTGAAGAGGATTCCAAGTCTGTTACAAGGAAAGTATAAAACGTACCTGGAAAATCTTGTTTTGCCAGTAAATAAGAAAGGCTTAAAAATGATGCCGACATTATCAGAAGGGCAGAAGATGTATCTGAAGGGGCTTCCAAAGGACAAATCTGGAGCGATCTGAATATCCAAATATATAATGATAGTAACAAATTATTGTTACCACTGACTAAATAAGAAACTGTGATTCCATACTGATATGAATAAATAACTAGATAAGCAAAGAAATAGAAGAGAAAGGAATGTCCCTTACAAGTGGAATGCCAGCTAATAAATGTAAAAGGCATCATGTAGTTAGAAAACCATAAATGGATGCTAAAACAGTGAGTGCTTGATGATGAGTGGGGTATTTATATAAAGTATCTTCTCACAAGTTGCTAATTAATTACTATGGTAGAATAGTATCTTTGCTAAGACCTATGGATATCTCGCTAACCAAATGATCAATCTAAAAATCACTTATATTGGGACAAATTAACAATATACACCATTTAATAGGATATACTAAGAAGGACACAACATGACTTCTGTGTTATTCCTGCCAAAAGTCTGAATCTAATCATGGTGATTAGATTGTGGGATTTTCACACAAACGCCCATATTGAGCAACTGTCTACAAAGATTTCAAGGTTAAGAAAGAGACTGAGGAGCTGTGTATTAGTTATTTGTTGTCATGCAACATTACTCCAATTTTAGTGGCTTAAAGCCACATACATTTACCACTCCCAGTTCCTGCAAACCAGGGGCCAGGCTTGGCCGAGCTGGCTCCCCTGCTAAGGGGCATCTCATAAGGCAATCAGAGCAGTGGCCAGAGCTGCAGGCTCACCTACAGCTGCACTGGAGAGGGTCCCCTTCCACACTCACTCAGGCCGTTGGCAGAATTCAGTGCCTTCTGACTGCAGAGCCGTGGAACTCTTTTACTTGCTGGGTGCAGGCCATTGGCTGGAAGCTCCTCTCTGCTTCTAGAACCACCTTCATTCAGTTCCTTGTCACACGGAATTTCCCAGCATGGCCACCTAATTTCTCACAGCCAGCAATGAAGAGAGACCCCAGCAAGATGGGCACTCTGGTTTTACGTGCACAGAATCACATCCATCCATCACCTTTGCTGTATTCTGTTTGTGGGAAGCAAGTCGAGGTCCTGTCTTCGCACAAGGGGAAGGGATGACACCAGGAGGTGGGGACCGCGGAGGCCTCTCAGGGACGACGCTGCGTGGTAAGGCGTAGTGACTGAGACGCGTGGCATGTGTTCGGGAGCTACTTGTTGGGTCAACTGCAGAACAAACGTGGCATTTTCTTGGAGCTCTTCGGCAGTACTGTTATGTACTGCACATGACCGCGTCAGCAGCTGGTCTCTGAGGAAGGGTTATTGCTTTCAGCAGTCCTGTGGAAGTCCTGTCACCCTTAATAAGAACACCTCTGACTCTCGGCAGCACTAGGCTTGTGTGAAGCAGTTTTCTGAGGGCAATGTTGGAGTATGTGTTTGAAGCCGTTGCACAGTAGGGATCAGCCCAATATTTTAACTCAGTGAATTTAAATCAGATCATCATTCTCAATTTCAAAGACAGAGCTAACGTATGCATAATGAAACGATATTATAGTGCAATGACACCAATCAGTGCACAGCCCTTTTTCCCCCTAAATCAAAAACAGGGGTTTCTACCCA